CTCACTTTCTCTGCTTCATCGACTGGATAAACGCAGCTCATTTCATAGTTAAGCGGACACGAGGTAAAAAGTGAGATACAAGATGATAAGATCTCGGATCATATTTAGCGCTGTCACTCTAGTTCGTTGAGCTTAGCACAAACCGGCCGCAGTCACCAACCATCTAACTGTTGCCATAACGCATTGAGTGTGCGCAAGGCTTTCAGTTCTTTCTACTCAGTCGAAGAAACATTATTAACTCCCGAATTCTGCCAACAGCCGGGGCAGTCGCAGTTTGTCTCCCCTATTCTCTCATGCTCCCGGAAGCTGTTTTTAAGAAAACCAAACATTTAATGGCCACCTGCTCATAATCTGGTGACGAATCATCACCCACCAAGCCACCCCTTATATCAATTCTGACGGTAATGTCACGTCGTTCTAATTTGCTCATCCTTTTTTCACCCGCGTAGTGACTGGTTATCACGCTCAAATTACCGCTTCGGCCTTAATTATTGATCTCGATGATGGTGCAGTAGGAAGGTGATGGTTAGTTAACCGTGCAGCTTAATGTGTATCTTGTTTCTCATTCACGCTCGTATAAACTACAGTACTCGTGCGCAATTCTCTTACTGCTCAACAATGTAATTTTCATCTGACCAAATCCTAACCCTTGTCATGCATAAAACTGAATTCGCTTGGTATGGTGATAAAGAAAGTAATTTCATACTCAAAGATCTTTATATTTGTGAATTTTTTGTTTTCGCTTTCCAGGTATCACGCTTTTTGCAAGGATACGCCCGAACTCACTTTATTTCTATCATCCAAAAACACATCATGTCTCCAGCATCCACAGTTCCCGTCAAGCCCGTTATCGGAACACATAATGGTGCCTTTCACGCGGATGAATTGGTCGCCTGTGCAATGCTTAAACAATTACCGGAATATAAAAATGCGGAGATTGTGCGCACCAGAGACGTGGATAAGTTGGCCGAATGCTCAATTGTGGTCGATGTGGGTGGTTTGTTCGATCACACGACCCGCCGGTACGATCATCATCAGAGGTACACAGTTGTTCAGTGTGATCTGTTCATTTTCCATTTCTCTCCCTCTCCCATTTTAGGGGATTTAATTTGACCCTACGCGACTTTCATCCGTCCACTAAATGGGATATTAAATTGAGCAGTGCCGGTCTGATATATGTGCATTACGGTCCCAAGGTTCTCGCTTGCATCACCGGTGTGCCGGAGGTCGATCCCATGATCGATGTGCTTTTTCATAAGGTGTTGTCGAATTCAACAATCTCATTGTTTTTTTTTATCGGAACTCTAGGTGTATGCCGCGTTCATCTCCGAGATTGATGCAATTGACAATGGTGTACAGGAGACCGACTCGGTCCCACGGTACGACCCCAGTCCTTGGATTGAATAATTTCACATTTCTAGTTATACTATTCACACAGGTTTGAGCAGTCGCGTTAGCATGATGAATCCACAATGGAACAAGCCCGACATGGACGAAAGTGTAAGTGATGGGGATATAATTGTAATGTTAAAATTAACGAACTGATAGTTTACTCATCCTTTTCTCATGTTATCAGTGGGTTTTTTTATTTTTTGAATAGTGGAAAACGATTATTCACATAGTCTCAGTAACCTCTTGTTCGGTTGCCTAAGTCGCCTGGGCTACATAAGGGTTGAATGAGGTAGGTAGGGCAATATACGATTAAGCTACAACTCCGATCATCCTTACTGTTCGGTGGCTTTGGTGCTCATAAAATCAAGCGGTTTTTTTTTTGATCAAATTCTCTTTCGAGGGTAAATGCCGGAGATGTTGAAATTCCCCAATGGCGCCTCATCCATCTCCAATTGTCCCTAATAAAAGCGATCTAAACCTGTCTCGTTACTCCATCCACGGTTCATTTTGAACTGGCATGGTCGAACTCCTACAAAACAGGATGTGAACCTGGAGTTTCGTATCTTATCCTAAGAGCGTTTGCTGTTGCATACTCTATTTACTCAACGTCTGTCTCCAAAGCATGTTGATGTTTCACAGCGTCCATCGCGCCAGCATCTAAGAGCGACCCCCTGGATAATATCGTCCCTTGCCTGCTCTTCGGTTATGTTGACGGTGTTTGAAAAACTGATGTGTTTTACTATTTCACATCAAAACTGGCAAGCCTCATAATCAAAACTGTACTAAAACGGGGGTATGCGGATGACAGTTTACGTAATGAACCAATATGTTGATCCTGTTCTGACAGAAAGGTCATAAGTAGATGGTTATTGGATACCAAGGTGCTTTTGTTAATCGGCGCTAATCACTGAGAGTGACTCAAGATTCCTTTCTGGTTATCTATTCAATAGAACCAAGGCAATCTGGTTTGACACATATTCCGAACGATTGTGAAGGCTACAAACGAGTTTCCGCTAGCTCAGGCTACTGTTTTAGCCACACCAGTCAAAGCATGAAAGCAGATCTGATCAGAGCTCATTGTGGGCAAAGATTTCCCTTTTCGGCTGCCCATTTCGCGAATACTAAGGTAGGTCGCCGATCTGCACTATGTGATGCTAGTTGTACCCGTAAAAATACCGGCGAATAAAGTATAATGTTTTTTTTCATTTACATCAGTAAGACGCTGAGGCATTTCCCCCTAACTCGTTGGATACTATTGAACCCTAAGTCATTGTGTGGAAAACATATGCTTCATAATAAGGAGCAACAGTTAAATATCTGGGTGACAGTCACAGGATTTCTTTCTGACTATTTGGAACGGATTGTTCATCACTAGAGAATTCGTTAAAAATCGATGGCAACTGGTTAGGAGTATTGGGCATAGGCTTATTTGGATGGAAACAGTACTGTCGTCAATATTTCCAATGCACACTGAGTCAGTTACCAATAAGCAACGTGATGGGCAGTACACAGGTTTTCATAGCTTCGTAAATCTCTGTAAATAGCCATTGTCGTACCCTGTCTGTTAAAGAGAGCAAAGCGCATCTGTACAGAGGATACCTTCAAAGGTGAACTGAAACGAGTGAAGAGAACCGTACTAAAAAGGGACCCCAGGAGAAACTTTTCCACTGTAAGTGCACTAAACAGAATAGATTAGCAAAAATGCTCAAAGCGGAGAAGACTTCAGAGGATAAATGTTTGGATTAGCCCATTCGGTTTTTCACAGGCACCAGGCACTGTTGATGACGAAACAGATGTCCAGTGCTCTTTGTTGCTTATCAACCATTTCCATCGCACGGAGAAGGCTTCGTTTATCAAAGTTAAAAAATGGAATCTCCCTTTAAATCCCAGTAAGCTACCAAACATGAGTTACCGTAACAAAGAAATAAACTACCCATGTTGATCCTATTTATGATTGTCTAATAATTCAAGTGCACTTCTGGTGCGACTTACGCAGGTCGAGTGACAACGCAATTATCTCAACGCCTCGAAGAACACAATGCACGCTGACTGACACGTGTGGGAACGGAGCTTTGCCAAGCTCAATTGTTATTCATTTATCAGAGGCAAGAAATTCAACTGACAGTCATACTTCCAGTCCCACGACACTCCCAGCAACAAAGCTTCGGGCGTTAGCAACTGCTGATTTGATCAGCTCCCGTCTCATGAAGCCTGACCTGTGCGCACAACGAAAGTTGACTCGAGCACTCGAATTTTCATGGCCAAAGGAAGATAAGATCGCCTGTTCAAACGACAATGACACCACATTGGTAATTTTGATTACGTATTCCGAGCATCGCACCAATTTGAAGTGGTTTTTGGCTCAATACAACACACGCGACCCACACCTCATCTTTGTTCAACTTTAAGGAATTTTCTTCTGTCTTTGCAGACTAGTGAGTCATTGAACGCAATTACTTACCCTCCATCCATCATTATTAAACCACATCCATTGGTGTATTTTATCTTGCCCCGTCGATGCAATGCAATGCTATGTTGATAGTTCTGCACGTGCAATACATACTTGATTACAGATATGCTTCACCAAAGCTCTTGCTATGGTTGAAACGGAATTCGTCACGGTTGTGAGAAATTTCGCGGAAGTATGGTACCCAGCTCGAGCGGTTGTGGCCGAAGCGATGAAAGCTCGACGCTCGGTGCATCCGTCCGGTGCTGTGTTTCTGTTGGAGCAAAATGGTTGCCCCTGGAAAGCACATGTGTTGGAACTGGAACGTTTGGAGTTGGAAGAGAAGAGCACATGCACTGAATTTGATTTGTCCGATCGGGCCTCTGTCCGCGGTCGACCGGTGTATTGCGTGTACAAGCGGAATGATGGGTCGTGGTCCGCACAGGCGGTCCCCGTGTCCGAGACCGCCCAGTTCTCAAGCAGGTTAGTTTCATTTCGACCATGATGGCCATCTACCATCACCGATAACTGGGGCCATGTTTCCTGCCTCGTGTTGTCTAGCGAAACGGAAATCCAGCTAATTGAATCAGTTTTTCTATGGGATGTTTTCAATTATCTGGGGTCATCGTGAACCGAAAACACAGCACGCTGCTTTTCTGTCGTATGCGACCGGGTTGTGCTTCAAGTTGCGTGTTGGTCTGAATCGGAATATGTTCTGGTCACTTTCACAATACTGTTGTATAAACCGAGTCATTGTGTCTCACAGTTACAGTACCGATTTCAGTTATTGAGTATTGATCTTTGGATCATTTTGTGATTCCAACCTAGACCGTGTGTAGGCAATTGATTTTCTGATTGATGGTCTGTTTCTTGGCCAATTAGATAGTTTTATCTAATTTATCCTAATAGAGAATGTCGCGTGTTTTAAAGGTCTAAACGTTTTCTCTCCGGCATTGCAAAACTCTTAACGGGTACCTGGTAAAACCAGCTCGTAGTCTAGAACTTTGGCTGGCTTTATTTGCCTCTGAAGGTATTTTGTCATTGGAACAATTCCACTAGGTAAGGGTGGAGCACAACAGATACTATTTGCGTTTAGGCCCTTCATCAAAGCGCGCTTGATCGGTGATTCGGAATTTGAATGAAGCAAGAAACGGCTACTTCTTTTTTCTATCAGACTGCTTTCATGCGAATTCAATTGCACGGCCACTTTTCCTTCTTCACTGACTGCCAACACCTCAGATTATCCTCCCTGGTCACAAACTACAGCATTAATTGTTTGAAATGTTTTATTCACGCAACATATATCCATCCCATTCTGGTTCAAAATGATCGCCGCACGCGTATAAACCCTCCCTGAATACATCAGGATGATTCAATTACTCCGTGTGCTTTTTCCGCTCCGTTATTTAAGAATCACATCATAGTTCCTGGGCAGCTTGCAGCCAATGAACATGTGAGTGACTATGTCTATGGCCTTAAAACTAGCGCACAAGAACAACTATAGACTGATTCAAAACACAAGGGGAAAACGGGATGTTGTATATTCGCGTTTGGGAGCGAAAAAATATATGAGAATAATTTGCTGAATGTTGTGAGTTGGTCATCATACCGATTTACAAAAAAGGTGACAGATCCTCTTGTGAAAATCATAGAGGAATTAGTTTAATCAACATCGTCTCTAAACTTCTCCCTGGCATCATACTCCGCCGAC